TGTCTCTTTTCACTCCATCCTCATCTCCGTGTATTTTCCATTCTCTTTTCCTTCTACCTCTCCCTCCAACTCACTGTCTCTAGCACACCTTCTGACAGTATTATCATTACAACAAGTTACCACCCACCAAGTCATGTCTGATTCTGTACTGTACTTCCCTCTATCTCTCTTTTCTATCAATCATTTCCAATTTCTTTCCCTTCCTCCTCTCTTCCTCCATCTTTGTTTGTCTGCTTCTTTGTCTTACTCTTCTCTATCAAGAATTTCTTTTGTTTTCCTTTCCCTCCTCTCTTTCTCTCTATATATATATATCTATCTATCTGTCTGCCTGTCTGTCTTTACCACAGCTGCGAGTCCCCAAATTCAGTCACCAAGCTTGCTCTTACAAGGGGTGAAAGGCCAATGCTTCACACGGCCCCACAACCAAACCCCATCACCATACCGTCACCAAACCCCCTAATCACTACTATTACAGCTCACCACCACAACTCACCATTATACTAATTGGTCGAAGTTACCTGCAAGACTCACCCTCCTGACCTCTCTGAAATATAAATTGAACTTGAGGGTGTTTCAAATCATCTCGGGCAGAAGTAGGTTGCAATTTACTACTCCAGCAACACCATGTTTTCAAAAGAGCCGCCTGGGTTGAGTGGTGTAATGCTTCTATCATCAATCTGTTCGTTCTCTTTCTCTCTTCTTGCTTTCTTTCTCTCTTTCTGTCTATCCTTATCAAAGCATCATATAAAAATGAATCTCAATTTATTTGTATAAGAAATTATTCAAAAGAGCCGCCGCCAAGGTGAATACAGAAACCATTAAGCTGCTATCTCTCTTTCTCTCTGTGTATCTCTGTCTTTCTGTGTCTCTTTCTATCTCTTTTTCTGTCCATCTGTATCTCTCTTTCAAATCAATACAGACCAGGTAGGTTTCAATATCCAGGTGCAGAAGCTTGATATTTTCAAAAGTGCCGCCTGGTGGAAAAACCATCACTACTTTCCCATCAACTTTTTTCTCTCCACATCTCCTTTATACTCTCTCTCTCTCTCTCTCTCTATCTTTATATTTTCTTTGTTTCTTTTCATATCCGATCATCACAGAGCTAATTAGTTGACAATTTGTTTGTATGTCCTCAGAAGGTGTTCAAAAGTGCCGCCTTATTCAGTGTTTCAATTATTTTGCCATTATCAGTCTGTTTCCTCTGTCTACTCGTATCTCGCTTTGTTTGTCTGTCTGTCTGTCTGTCTGTGTCTCTCTCTTTCTCTCCCCTATCAAATCATGGAAGAGAAAATGGACCTCACTTTGCTTGTATAAAAACATAGTCAAAAGCGCCGCTGGATCTTCCGCTTATTTTCCCATTATCTCTCTCTCTCTCTCTTCCCTCGTCAAATCGTAAAGATTATTCAGTTCACAGTTTATTGGTTCAACATTTGATGACCTTTAAAGTCATCTGAGTGTTAATAATTAGGAGTGAGATATTTTGTAAGTGTTTTCTTTTTTTCTTCTTCTTCATCTGTTTATATTATTAATTCTTCTTCTTTTTCTTCTTCTCCTTTTTTGTTCTTTCTTCTTTTAGTTCTTGTTCTTCGTTTTTCTTCTTCTTTTTTGCTTTTACTTCCTTAAATTTCTTCATCTTTGTTTTTTCTTCTTTTCTTCTCTTTTGTTCTTTCTTCTTTGAAATATTTTCTTCTCCTTCATGTGTCTTTTGTTCCCTTATGTTGTTACCTTTATTCTTTTTCCTGCTCTGTTTTTTCTTCTCCTTCCTTCTGCTGTTTTTGTTCTTCTTCCTTCGGCTCTTCTCATTCTTTCGTTCTTCCTATTTTCCTTCTTCTTTCATCGTTTTCTTTTTTTTTGGGGGGGGGGTGGTGGTTCCTCCTCCTTCTTGTCTTCTGTTCTTGTGTTATTGTTCTCCTTTCTTCTTGTCTTCTATTCCTCTGTTATTATTCTCCTTTCTTGTTCTTCTTATAATTCTCGTGTTTCATTCTTCTATCTTCTTGCGTACTCGTACAATTCACAAAATCTAACCTTGGCAAACTTGTACCCTGACCCAGCACCACCAAATCCCGTCTCCTTGCTGTCTGTATAGCTATAAAGGTGTTTTTCTAACGATTTTGTGCAGGTTGGTGGGTTGGGTTGGAGTTCGGGTTGCTGTTGGGTTGTTGGGTTGGGGGGTTGGGTTGGGGGTTGTTTGGGGGTTGTTGGGTTGGTTGGGTTGGGTTGCTGGGTTCGGGTCGGGTTGGGTTGGGTTGGGTTGGGTTGGGTTGGGTTAGGATGCGTTGGGTTAGGTTTTGTTTGGCTAGATCAGGTTTGGTTAAGTTAGGTTATATCAGGTTGGGTTAGGTTAGGTTAGGTTAGGTTAGGTTATTACATGTCTACTTTGTTACTGACCCCGAACAACGAAGACCCTAAATGATAACCTGTATATTTCTGGTTATTTAACAAAAATTCAAAGATGACGAAATAAATCCAGTTTCGGGAGATTTTGATCCACTGCTCTACGGGAAGTCAATCTATAAGGGACTTAACTCTGGCGTAAGTTAATCTATAAGGGACTTAACATTGACGTAAGCCAATCTATAAGGGACTTAACTCTGGTATAGGTTAATCTATAAGGGACTTAAAATTGACGTAAGCCAATCTATAAGGGACTTAACTCTGGTATAAGTTAATCTATAAGGGACTTAACATTGACGTAAGCCAATCTATAAGGGACTTAACATTGACGTAAGCCAATCTATAAGGGACTTAACTCTGGTATAAGTTAATCTATAAGGGACTTAACATTGACGTAAGCCAATCTATATAAGGGACTTAACTCTGGTATAAATTAATCTATAAGGGACTTAACACAAAGATATTTTAAGTAATGATATGAATGATGAAAATTTAACCTCATGACCATTTTACTGGGGTCAGAGTTCACCTACAGGAGTCAAAGGTCACCAACAGGAGTCAAAGATCACTAGCAGGAGTCAACGGTCACTAACAGGAGTCAAAGGTCACCAACAGGAGTCAAAGGTCACCAACAGGAGTTAAAGGTCACTAACAGGAGTCAAAGGTCAGCAACAGGAGTCAAAGGTCACTAACAGGAGTCAAAGGTCACTAACAGGAGTCAAAGGTCACTAACAGGAGTCAAAGGTCACCAACAGGAGTCAAAGGTCACTAACAGAAGTCAAAGGTCACTAACAGAAGTCAAAGGTCACCAACAGGAGTCAAAGGTCACCAACAGGAGTCAAAGGTCACAAGCAGGAGTCAACGGTCACTAACAGGAGTCAAAGGTCACCAACAGGAGTCAAAGGTCACCAACAGGAGTCAAAGGTCACTAACAGAAGTCAAAGGTAAAAGTACCCGTTAATCCACCACTCGTTTAACCTAAGTTCTCGTTAATCCACCACTCGTTTAACCCAAGCACTCGTTTATCCACCACTCGTTTAACCCAAGCACTCGTTAATCCACCACTCGTTTTACCCAAATACTTGCTAATCCACCAACAGTTTAATCCAAGTACTCGTTAATCCACCAACAGTTTAACCCCAAGTACTCATTAACCCAAGCACTCGTTAATCCACCACTCGTTTAACCCAAGCACTCGTCAATCCACCACTCGTTTAACCCAAGCACTCGTTAATCCACCACTCGTTTAACCCAAGAACTCTTTAATCCACCACTCGTTTAACCCAAGCACTCGTTAATCCACCACTCGTTTAACCCAAGAACTCGTTAATCCACCACTCGTTTAACCCAAGCACTCGCTAATCCACCACTCGTTTAACCCAAGTACTCGTTAATCCACCACTCGTTTAACCCAAGTACTCGTTAATCCACCACTCGTTTAACTCAAGTACTCATTAATCCACCACTCATTTAACCCAAGTACTCGTCAATCCACCACTCGTTTAACCAAGTACTCGTTAATCCACCACTCGTTTAACTCAAGTACTCATTAATCCACCACTCATTTAACCCACGTACTCGTTAATCCACCACTCGTTTAACCAAGTACTCGTTAGTCCACTACTCGTTGTATAAAGGCAGCTGGTAGAGATTTAATTCGATTCACAGTAAATTATTCCAGTAATTATGTAAAGAAAGTCCTCTTGTGTAAGTATTTATGTACACTTAAGAGGCAGTAATGTATGTGTGTGTGTGTGTGTGTATGTGTGTGTGTGTGTGTGTGTGTGTGTGTGTGTGACGATAGTTTCACTTAGATAATGTAATATGTATACACACATTATACATATACATAATTACATCCAATCAGGCGTGTACTGTACATGCATTAAACCTACATATACATAACGATAATAACAATAATGATTTCATATTAGTATAATAATAATAATAATAATAATAATAATAATAATAATAATAATAATAATAATAATAATAATAATAATAATAATAATAATAGTTTCATAATAATTATAATAATTTTTAGGAAGAAATGTAAGAGAGAAAGAATGAGTAGAGCTTGACACAGGTGCAGAGAGAGAGAGAGAGAGAGAGAGAGCAACACTATCACTCACCACACACGCACATACAACAAGCACTTAGTAGAAATATACGTCCAAACAATACTCATGCGAGGTAACATGTGTCGGAATGAGCCCCTCATCCGCCGTCCTCCTCCCACTCCTCCGCCCTCCTCCTCCTCCGCCCACCTTCCTTTCCTGCCACCCAGCAAGTCAGCGGAGAACAGAGGCGTATCCCACAAAGCACCATGTGTCCTCATTGGGGCATCCCATATCCCCTATAAACGACTCAGAAGGGTAATTCCTCACTCCACCTCACACTAAACGGCTGCACAACCAGAACAGCCAGCAGTGTCACCTGGTGTGGGTGTCTGTGTGGCTACGGGACCATCAGGAGGTGACATCTGACGGGCCGAGACTCTCTATGGAGGAGGAGGTGGAGGAGGGAGGGAGGCAGGGAGGGCCCAGGAGGTGCTAGTGGTCGACGCTTCCTAGGTGAGTCCACACCTTCTCCATCAGTTTCCTTCCTCACGCAGCGACACGCAGGGTGTGTGAGTGAGGCTCCCTCCCTCTCGATGCCTTAAGTTGTCAACCATGTAATAAGCAGAGGTTCTTCACTTACTGACGCGCCCGCAGGCGGTAACGAGTGGCATGCTGTAAAAACCTCAACGGCCAGGCGATACCCCCCCCCCCCGAGTGCCTCGTGGGCGTGTGAGCACGTCACCCAACGCATCACTGTCACAAACTAGTGTGCCCTGCACTTGTATTGACGCCTCACCTGTCTACGTGGCCGCAAGCGATAACGAGTCGCATGTTCTCAAATATCAAGCAGCCAGGCGACCCCAACACCTAATGTCAGTGTCAGCAGCATCAGTGTTAGCCAGCTAGTGTAATCTCCGTGCTTAAAGAATCATTAAGTGTTTATCCCGAACCGCGCGAATCACAAGTACACCCATGACTGGTTCTGTGGTGCACCGCGTGTAGACCCTGTGGGAGTGTATGGAACGTTGTTGCTGCGTCCACGTGAGGAGGTCATGATCCTCCTGGCAGTGTGTGACCTCGAGAGCCGCGTTTCCCAGCAGCCATCTGCGGTAGGTCAGTGCCTTTACGTTGACCCACGGGCGCCGCACATGTTGTAGGGTCAACACCTATCCTTAACTGATCTAGTGTAGCCTATCCTAACCTAATGTAGACGGACTTAATCTAATCTAGTCAAGTTTAACTAATCTATAAAGTAACCCACCCTAACCCACCCTAGCGTTTTTAAACCTATCTGTTATAGCCTAGCTTAAAGCAGTAGCATAACCTAACCTACTGAATCCGCCAGTACCACATGTAGCCTGACCGAACCTAGCGTCGCCTAAAGGAGCCTAACGTCACTTAGCTTAGCCTAACCTAACCTAACCAACAATGTGCCCTAACTTAACCTTACATAGTCTAACCTAATCTAATCTCAGATCATTAGGTTAGGTTAGGTTTGGTTAGGTTGACAGATCTGAATAGTTACGCTAGATTAAATTAGGTCTGGTTAGTGGTAAGTTAAGGTTGACAGGTCTGGAGTGATCAGTTTAGTTAAGTTACGGCTGGCTGATTCGTGTCTGTTGTCATAGGAGGTAATTTTGTCCACATCCGGCTCAAGTAAACATAAGCTGAAAACTGGACCGCGAGTGTAGCAGCTGCCTATTGTATACACTAATATAAACACCCTAGAGCTGCAGCCTCGATTCTCCAAGTTTCAGATGGTGTTGATATTACAATGTATTACAGAACTGTATTTTAACAACTAAGGCCTTTAAGCGTGTATTCATAGTACAGTACGCAATAAGCGCGTATTCTAAGTTATAGTATACACACAAACTGGTCATCATCAAGTAAAACTTACCAGTCACATCGGTCTTGTTTGCTATCAGCTACTTCCTCTGGTTCAAGGTGTCAGTAACCTCTATACATGTCACCACTTGCTTATACTGTATCCAATAATCTAAAAATAATACTGGGTGTTATCTTATATTGTTTTTGACTCCTCGTAAGTTATAGTTTAGCACACTGTGTCTGCCGCCCCTGGGGTGTGACGAATTAAATAATAATAATAATCATAATATACTATCACCGGCACATGCGCATAACATCCAATAGGTACTTATTTCATGAAGTAGTGATGTCAGGAGGTACTTATTTAACATTACTTATTTCACTATTTATTTCACAAAGTATTTATTTTACAGTGTAATTATTTCATTAATTATTTTAAGAGGTACTTAATAAAGTACGTATTTCGCGAGAAACTTATATCACAGATTATTTTTCATAATATTTCATGGAGTGCTCATTTCACAGAGTACTTACTCTGCAAAGTTCAAATTTTAAGCAGTACTGTATTTATTGTATGCGGTACTTATATCACGAGGTACTTATCTCACGCCGCACCAAGATGTCCACCACACACAGCCGAGAGCAAGCAACATTATCTCTTACAAATGAGATAATAGCTAAAAACCTAACAATCAACTTAAATAGGATTTTTGTCTAAAATTTCCAAATATATCGTCAGTCTCCATAAATGGACTTTTATTATTATTAAGACACGAGCAGAGGTATAATTTAAATCGACTTGATGACAACTATTCGCAGAACTTCAACGCTCAGCTGCACTTAAACTACGGAGTAATATCTCAGGATCAGGTGCGTTATTTTTTCACCCAACCTCATAGAAGATACACTGTTGTAATTATAGAGATTCGATCATTTCCGGAAAGTAAAAATAGTAAATTATTTTTTTTTAATCTAACTTCACCAGCAAATTAGGCGGTGTTAGAATTTCAATTACCGGAAACGAATTTCAGTCCCGATTAAAAAAAAAAAAATCTTCTAAAAAGTGTGAAGAAATAACAACATATTTCAACAAAGGAGACTGAAAATTGATCAACAGCTGCGTTATCAGCATACTAAGCGTTCGGAGTGTTGGTTTGATATTGTGACGACCTTGAAACGAAAAAATTCCTCCCTGAAAAAAAAATCAGTCAGAACATGTGTGGCGGATACTTGCCTGATTAAAAGTAGCCAAAATAAGATGATAGCTAATGTTGTGACAGGACCAATTCAGCCTTTCCATAACATCGTGCACATAAGAGAAGGAAGGGAAGTTTCAAACATCAAAACCTGATACACAAACTTGTGTTATGGTACTGAGGCTGATTACTTCTTGTTAACACGAGTCTCACGGTAATCAGATCATCTTCAGTTTAACCAACTTAACCAAATCTACCCCCCCAAATTAATCTTCTAACGAGGGACATTACGTAACCAACTTCCCTTTAACACCTGAGATCCGCCCTTCGTGTCGTATTTAAACAACACACTGTCAGCTGAGTATTACATCATTTGTTACACCATCAAAACATATTTATTTTTACACAAGTGAGATACAGGGAAACATCCGTCCTCAACCCAGTATCCGTCCGTGCCTACTATCTTTGTATTTCTTTCGTTTTTTTTTTTCCTCAACACCACAAACCTGCCTGATGTAAGATTTATCATATAACTTTAAGCATCGGATCTTAAGTGTGCCAGTTCAGTTTTTGCTTTCTCACATCGTCAAATAAATGGAGAAATTCATTGTGACGAGCTTTTGAAAATCCGGTTAGTGATTTTTTGCATCCAGAACGACAGGATGTTTAACAGCGTCATGTTCAGTGTGAGAGTGTTCGGCGGGTGTGTCATTACCGCATCTTACCGTAACCCACCCGATTCTGATCATGTTTTGCTTGTTTGGTAATTATGTCAGACAGTAGTGCTGTCCGGACCTTTTCTGTCATGGAGGTTGTGGTGTCATGCAATTGTTTTAAAACGGGTAACATTAACTAAACCCAAACATGACCTTAGCTAATTTGACTAATTTATATTCTACGATCGCTTACTTTAGGGTATACAGGTTACGTCTGGTTAGGGTTGGTAAGGTAGCTTAGCTTTGGTTAAGTTAGGTTATTAGTTGTTTATTTCAATAGACGGTTTTAATAATCTACACCAAAAATCATATCAGCAAAATACGAAATATGAGAATAGAACAGACTGACTACAAGAGCATTTCTAATATAACGATTGTAGAAAAGCGCCAAATAATGGGTTAAAATCGACCGCGCTACTGATGTTAACAATTACCGCTCGTTTTAGTTAGCCATCAAACTGTTTTACCGAGCCATCACACTAACTTATTAGGCTCCCAACGTTGAGATTTATTATTACCGGGTGGTCGTTTAGTTGTTAATAACGTCCCAGTCGGCGGCCATTACTTCCTACTCGATCCGCTTTGTTCTGACTCAGTAATTAGATGTCTTGCAGGTCAACCGGGTCATAGTCCTGATAGGTCACACAGTCTTGCCATGCTTCACTCAGACCTAAACTACTGTAGCTTAACCGTTCGAATTCGGTGCCACCTAAGACTTTGGCTCTTGAGGACTTGGGACCATGAAGACTCGGTAAAAAAAAATCACTTAACAGTCTATAATAGTTACACTCTAACCTAACCTACCCAAACTTGGCCTAAACCAAAGAAACTACTCTAATCCTTTAAATTATCTAAAGCTAAATTAAAAATCATGTTCGTCAGTTAGTCATAATTACTTACACCCATAAACACTCATCTGTTTTACTTTGTTCTCTTCCTGTAGGAGTAAGAACCCGCACCCCGAGTCTCACACTACCTGGGAACAAATTCGCCACCTGGGAACACTCGCACACTGCTGAAACGTTACCATCTGAGGACGGCATCATCGAGGAAGTAACACCGTCTGAACACAGCAAGCAAACGACGCCAGGCTGCGACGCCAACAAGGAAGGGCCGATGCAACAAACACGTCTACACAGAAAACTAGTTCTTGATTATGACGAACAATAAAAATAACATATATGTGTTAAACTTGACTGTCAAACAGACTGGCAATTTTATTCACTGACTCATTGTAAGCATAGAAAGGTTACATTCTTTAACTTGATATTAAGACTGCGCTTGATGGTCAGTTTATCCTCTGTCAAAAGTGGTAAAGTGAACAAGCATTTGTAGTTTGTTATGATGCCAGACTAATCGACAAGGACCTAGAGTGTTGAAGACAGTCATGAGTCCAGCACGATGATACACTTAAGGAACTGACCGTAAGAAGCTCCTTGTAGCGATGGTGACAACGTGTATGACTATATCAGCCTCCAGAGAGAGAAGACCCAGAACTTAATAAGTATGGAGAAGTTCGGTGGCGTGAGCGTCACCTTCAAGACGCGGAACAGCAAGCACCACCCCTCCAGCAAGAGAGGGCTTGGGTATCCTCACTCCAGGATAGCGGATAAGTACGGGATGAGGCCGCGGAGCATTATCAGACGTCTGCTGCAGGAGAGACCACTTCGGGAAGGATCGCACAAACGAGTCAAATCGAAGCTACAGCCGTTCTCCAAGTACCGTAAAAAGCTGGCGACCTCCCGCGAACGGTCCCACGTGAGGGAGATCAACAAAGCATTTGAAAATCTGCGGAATGCCTTGCCGTCTGCCGCCGGCTGTCGCAACGACGCCTCTGCCGCCGCCAAGATGACCACACTCAGACTGGCTCTGAGGTACATTGCAGCACTCACACAGCTGCTACAGGAAGACGATGACCAACGCTCTAACGACGACGACAAAACCAGCAGCTGTTCAGACACCAGCGGCGACGACCCCAAGACTTCTTCGTCTGGTCAAGAAGGCGGTAAACCAGAACCATCATCTAACAATGACCAAGAAGACAGCCCTGAGGACAAGTACATGCTGGCGCTGGCTAAGATCTTCCAAGAAAGCGACGACACAAACGACACGGGGACTTCCGATGGCGACAAGGACGACCGAGCGTACCCTTCCGACAGCGACGACCTCTTGAGCAGTCGAGGAGATTTCAGCGATCTTTCTGACCACGACGTTGAAGGTCAGCTCGATGTGCTGGCCAACCTTAGCCACTTGTCAGAGGGAGAGACTGAATCAGGAGTTCTCTCCTGAGCACCCCGTCTGTAGTGGCAGGTCGCGGGGACTGAAATACCCTCCCTCATCGAGGCACAAACAAGGACTTAGTACATTAATGTTTGTAAACAATTAATGTCTCCTTGTACAGTAACTGGGAACATTAGTGGTGTTATTATTGCTCATCCAAATTATGTAGTGTTCTGTATCGTATCTGAAGCCTAGTGTTATGTAGTGTTAAAACTATGAGTATGAGTGAGAGATGAACCATTCTGTGCCTACAGCTCCTACAGTTAACCAACAGTGACGAACACCTACGCTGACTTGAAGGTCCTAGTGACCATAAATCTTAAACCATAAGTGTTTTACTTCTGAGAAACAGTGACGTTGGTCCTGAGTGATGTCGGTCCTGTGTCATAATTCATGAACTCCCGTGTTATCTCAGCGTGACGATGGTCTGAGAAATTCTATGACTCGACAAGATAAAAAAATGAGAAAACAATGTTTTCTTCATAATATATTGTTATAACCTCGTTCATACACCATGTATATGTGAACTTTATGGCGTCTTGTTTAAGTAAATATGTGTAGTGGTTCTGCATGAGTATATCCGCCATATGAGTTTTCAATACGTATAACCTGTGCCGTACAAAATCATGTACGGGAGTAAACATGCATCATCAAGGGTAATTTATCTAGGACAGCGTCGTGGCCATCATACCTCATGGCGTCTACGGTATCATGCAATACACGTATTGCATAACAAACCGTCATACAATACTTTGATGCAGGTAAAACGAACGAACTAAACCTAGCCTAACTTTAACTTAATTATTCAATCAAGTTGTTATCCTCATGTGACTCAGCGACTCATTCATCCTCTCATTTATATTTCACATCTATCACCACATTTATTTTTACTTCCCAAATACACAATATTTTCAAACGGATTAAGTTCTGTTTCCTACCATAATTCATGTTAGAATTCACTTAAATATCTGAAAAACAATTACCTGTCTTTATAATAAGAATTCTTTAAGATAATTATGTTAAAGCTGGTTACTTTTGGTTCGCTTTGCCCGTTTCAAAAGATGTCCAGTATGAGTTTCGCCAAAACTTTTATAAAACCCAGACTATTAAAACATTTCTTCAGTGACGTGCAGATAAAAACACCAAATAAGAATTAACATGCACCGTGATGCTGTTCTGGACCATTACCCTGCCGGTGCTCACCGAGTATTAGAGTAGTTGTAAGAGTAATTTATTACATTGTTAATTACATCTATAAGGACCGAAAGTACAGCTCCCCACCACCAGAGGGCAGCACGAGACTCATGACAGTGAGTTGCAATATTCACACCCGGGTCCGGCTCTCGGTTTATTTTTTATGGTAAGCCGGATGTCACGGCTTACGTACAAAAGCAGTCTTTGCATGCAAGAGGCTGATCTGGTCACAGTATACACACCTGCTCAGTTATTGGAACAACAGCGAGTGACAATGCAAGCTTAATCGAACCTGAAACCAGAGATTGTGAAATTGCGTTAAGTTAGGTGCGGCTGTTTCGTGTTTAATGTCATAAATGATTAATATGTACACGGGCTGTGACATACAAGGCTCCAGCAGACATACACTGACAACAGGACCCGGATCGGTGTCAACAGTCTGTCATATAATTATTATTGCTCACGTACTGCCCTATTGAGGGCACTGCTACATGAGCCTTCCTGTGCCAACAACTTGTTTTGGTAATATTGACTGCGCTTCATATGCTTTTTATTTAGCCTTATTTAATTATATGTAAGTTTCCATTCGAAGTATTGAAGACGACGACCAAAGACAAGTGATGGAGGACAGGACAGATTAACACTGTCTACTCAACATGGTGTTAGCTATTTGAGAATAAAGTCATAATAACTGAACATTAATTTATTTATCATCACGATGGGTATTATGGTAATGTGAAATAATTATGTCTTTTACAGGAATTTCATAAACAAGACGGATCAATTGTCGGCCGACACTAGCGGCGTTAGAACCCTTGAAAAAAAATATCTCCGTAAGTACTTAAAGTCAGAACAAGAAAGGCGGTAATTGGGTAATCAAACATAGACAATGAACATATGAACAGCTGACCTACCATCATGCATACATTAAACGCTTAAGCAATCATCACTCAACTGTGAAAATTTCAAATTGAAATATTGTTGTGGCTACTTGTAAACGTTGGTGAGCATTCCTTCACAACTCATAGGAATTTGTGTTCTTGTTCTAGCTCTTCTTACTTCTATTGTTCCTAAAATTCAGGGGTCACCAAGAATCCGTCAGCATCCTCTCTACTTTCTCAGCCCGAGTTGTTTTTTTTTTTATCTCAAGTCTTTTAGCCGCGTCCCACCACCCCTTCATCTCCTCCCTGATCGTCTGCATCTCCACTCATCGCGCCACAAGACCACACCATCTCAGCCTTGCCCTTCTCATATCTTATACACGTCACTCCTGCTTTAGTTTCTTACTGTACCAACAAAACAACCACCACACCATACTCATCTCGGTTCTCTCTAACAAAACTCTTTTAACCCATCATGCCGAAGTCTCTGCCTCATGCATGTACACAAGCTGTAAATTTTGTCTTCAGTATTTTAGTTTTACACACGCAAGTCCTCTCCTCCTGTTTATCTGTGTTGCTGCTGTTTTGTATTTAGGTGATTCAAGTACCAAAGTCTTTAACCACCCTAAGTGTTAGTGTCTACAGCACTCGACAACAGACAACTTCTATAAATGAAAGACAAATAATTTCTCTGCTGGAGTGTGTGTTGTTTCTTGACGCTCTACGGCAGCGTGACGTCATCAGTGGTGTAAACAAAGAGGGGGTCGACCAGCTGAGTGTCGATCACAGGCGAGGAGACAAACAGAGAAGTATGTCTAGCCATTAATGGCACTAAGTGTACACACAGAGGAAGCCATTTACAATAGACGTGCCAAGCTTCCACACACCGAGGCACAAAAAACACAATTAACTCTCTGCACTTACGGGTTCCTCACGAAGAAGCTCCCGTCCAGAGATTTTATAAATAAACAATAAAACCTTGAAGAACAGGTGTTAAGCTTACGAGATGCATGAGACAAAACACCACTTAGCTCTCTCTCTCTCTACCTAAACAGATTGTGAAGAGAAAGTAAGGGAAAAAACAGTATTTCCAATCATTAACACTAAAACTGTGAAGAAGAATCCGCTAACACGTCAAAAAAAAAACACATGTTAAACTCATACGGCAGCTGGAGACAAAATACTAATTAATCTTTTGTCTGTACTTAAAACCATCAGATCACAACATTGGACTCCGTAAAAGGAAGTTTATCTAACCATTAACTAACACTTAAGATGTGTAAGATACGGGGACAGGTGAGACGATAATACACTCCTGGGCACAGACGAGCAATTACCTACAACACTGTATTTATATAGATCTCACTGGAGGAAACTTGTTCATTAAAATATGTACGGAGCTTCCGAAAGAAAAAAAAATCACTTAAGAGATGTATAAAAGTTAATTAAAGACAGATGGTTTAGTTTACAAGCTCCAGGGTACAAAAATATATCAACCTGTATGTATTCAGGGACATTCCAGCATAAGAACATCAAAATAGAGTAATTGTGGCCATTAAATATGAGGAAGCTCTGTGGAGAAAGCCATTTTGGGGGACAGGTGGTTGACCTTACACGCTCGGGGGCAGAGACACGTATAGCAACTCTCTGGCTGTGTCTAAATATACCTCCACCGGGTAGTTTATTCATTGACTATACCGAAAGGTTAATTATTGACGTTCAGAAAAAGCTACATTGACGCCAGGTGTTACGCTAATGACTAACTATAGCTTTCTATTTGTGTTTAGAATGATCACAGCTAAGAACCCTCAATACAGTGTTGCAATATCCCCAATCATTAAGGCTATAAAGCTAAGTAAAGAAAGGGTATCTAGGGGAGAGGTGTTGAGCTTTTACACTGGGGGAAAAATATAACACCTCTCTCTCTCTCACCTCGAAAAATTACAAACACACAAACAAATCCAAATAAAAAAAAATCCACTGAACACAATCCTACCAAAACAGCAACGGCAACAGTAGGAGGTAGAAAAATGAAGCAACACGTAGTAGACTTTTACTAATAAATTGCTGGGAACCCCTCCTTCCCAAAAAAATAAATCTTTATATAAATAGAAAAAAATGAAAAATCTAATCACCCCCCAAAAAAATTATTCTATTCAACTACTCAACCATTAACAACAAAACAAGCGAGACGAGGACATATTTAACAAGCTCTGGGTAAACCTAATATTTTCACCTCCTTCTGTACTTAAACACACCCTAAACAAGGAACTCCATCAATAAAATAAAAAGTAAAAAAAAGGGGGTAGTATATCCAGTAATTAAATATGATACACACAAGAAACCATTTACCTGACAGGTGATTAAGCGGATAAGATGCGGGGAAGAAAACAGGTAATTAGTGAGTGTGTGTTACGAAGGCGTCACACGAAGGTTATTTCCAGCCACT